GAGTTGTTCTGCGCATTGGAGGAGAAGCCGCCCAACCGCCCAGCCTTCTTGCCACCCGCCTCTGTTGTTCACCAGCAGCAGAAGAGGACAGCCGCCGCCCAGCCTTGCTCTTCACCGCCCAGCCTTGCTTCCGGACCACAGCACACCATTCGGCAAACCGCAATTCTCCATTGTTTGGGTTTTGTTGTTTCTGAACTTTTTATTATGAATTTCTACTGGGATTTATTTTTCATGGTGGTTGAAAACATATACATGTGTGGCTAGAATTCTTTGAACTAGGGATGGATGGATTTTAATTTTTGGAATATGTGACTATTTTTGTTAGTTTAATTCAAGATTTATTGGTTATTTGCATGATGAGTTTATATTATTGAGTTTAATGCATTGAGAGCCTGATCACCTTTTAATTGATTTAGTGATTTATGCATGAACTTGGGAAAGAATTGCATAGATTAGACCAATAATAATATAAATCGTGTGCTAGACTATGAGACCGAAAGGTAATTAGCTCACATGTGGTAGTGGAGGAAGAGAAGAGAGTTAGTAGCTCCCTCTTCTTCAGCTAGAGGTTTCCATAGAATTTAATACTCATTAGTTTGTTTAAAATTATATAGAGATATGATTAATTTAGCAAACAAATGAAGGATTAGCTTGACTTGAGAAAGCTGGTTAATTAATTTAGGGAAATCCGTCATCTCATGCAATAACACTATTATTTGAACTTGAATTAAATTAATGGAACAGTTGCATAATTCAGAATTAAATGAAATCCAAACCCTGGTTCTTTCTCATTCATAGTTTTTCTTTAGTCGACTTAGTTTTCTTTTAAATAGTTTAGCCTCTTCCCATTAATTGATTAATTCAACTTAGGTTAGATTAATAGGGTCTTGGTAGTGTAGGATAGTCTTCGAGGGAACGATATCTTACTCATCTTATACTGCATAATCGATTAGGTTCACTTGCCTAAAATTAGTATGTATTTGGTGTATCATAAATCTCATCCATTAAAAATAAAAAATAAATAATTAAGATTTTATGTTAAAAATAAAGAGATAAATGATATTTTATAAAAATATAATTAATGTGAAAAATTTATGTATAAATAAATTGTTGCTCAATTATAAAACTAATTATCGAGGGATTAAGAAACATACCTCTACTTTCAACTTTCCTTTTTAATGTGGGAAGCTAGAAGTGGGTGGAGATATCCGCTGGAATAAAGGTGGTGGAGAGATGGAAACAGTTATATTCTAACTGGAAATTAGAGAAGACATGTTGATCTTCCAGAAATATTGATTTACTACTCTTTGCTTCTGCCTTCTGAGTTCTAAAGAAATAGAGATACTGGAAAAAAATATTGATTTATTACTCTAACTTGTTGAACAGCCTCTCGAAAACAACAGTTAAAAAAAAGCACCTCCAGCAACAGATAAGATTTCCATTGAGCGCAATAAGTTTTCTGTAAATTAAGAGCATGCTTATTATAATTGTTGAAAATTTCAAAAAAAAAAAAAAGAAAAGAAAAAAAAGGAAGGGGTAAAAGTTGAAATCTAAAATCTGTTTAGTTAAAACTTTTGAAACTAAAAACCGTGTACAAATTTCAATTTCAATCCTTTCGATGAGTATGCATAATACTAATCATTACTTAAATAATAATAATAATAAACATAGTACTAATCTTATATAACACATTATAGTACAATTAAGTCAAAAGAAATTACAAGTTATATCAATCAACTAATTATTGAAAGCATATATATATATATATAGATCTACCAATGCCTAAGTAATATGGATATAGATTTGTCTACACAAAAGTTTTAGACATTATATATACTTAAATTTTTTTTTTTGTCTAAAATATGGTGAAAAATTACAATAATTGAAAGTAAAAACATGAATGATTAACATTTTGTATAAATATGTTACTTATGTATAGGTAAATCTCTAATTATGTATAAAACTAATTATCTAGGGATTAAGAAACATACCTCTGCTTTCAACGTTTACTTTCGTTAATATGTGGGAAGCTAGAAGTGGGTGGAGATATCAGCTGCAATAAGGTACACGAAAGATGGAAACAGTTATATTCTAACTGGAAATTAGAGAAGACATGTTGATCTCCCAGAAATATTAATTCACTACTCTTTGCTTCTGCCTTTTGAATTCTAAAGAAATGGAGATACTGGAAAGAAACGGAGGGAAAGTGTCAGGAAATTAACATAACATGAAAATTAACTTTAACAAAATTAAAAATCAAGAGATGAGACGAACAGCGTTTACCTTTGCCTTAAGGACTCAAGTTGTGCGCTGGGAAGGAATGGATGGAGATCTGAGAATTTTTGGGGAAAGAGATAGAACAGAATGTGGGTTCTCAATAATTTCTTAGGCATTATTGGATGCTTTATATTTTGCAATTGGAGGTCCGACTTACTGACTTTCAGAGAAAGCTGAGGCCAAACGATAAGCATCTTTTACTTTCTCAAAGAGAGAGTCGAAAAAGAAAGGTTAAAACCTACTTTGGTCCCTGTAATTTAATAAAAAAAAAATTTATTCTTAACTTAAAAAAGTTTTTTTATAGTCCTTAAAATTTATTTTTTTAATTTTTTTTAGTTCTTAAAATTTATTTTTCTGACTCAATGATGGAATATCCACATCCTTAGTTTGAATGGAAAAAATGGGAAAGTTCTATCAAGTAATGCATAAGGTTTGAGAAAAAAAGGACTAAAAATTGCTGAAAAAATAAACTTTAATAAAAGAATAAATTTTAAGACTAAAATAGAGATGTTTTTAATTAAGCACCAAACAGGATTCTATACAAAAATTAAAGGATCAAAATAATATTTTAACATAAAAAAATGAATAGGTGTCATAATAAAATAAGAAAACGCGGAAACTTTTTTGTTCGACGGGACGTCTTTTGGGTCTTGGTCAGAGTTTCACGTCGTCTAAATTGAGTAATTAATATGTCGATATTAGTGCACCAAACCTTGAAGCTCAATTAATTTTTTTAACAACTATAATCTTTTAAGAACGGAGGAGAAGAATAGGACCAAAAATCTTTAAATTTTAGTTGAATAAGTGGAAAATAGTATTACTTTCGTGCACCCACAAAGAGGTTCTTTAACTTCAATTGATTTTTTTTTTTTAGCAGGATTACAAATTTTGGATGAAAAGATTCAAATTCTAATCTTCAAGTTAGAGATGCATCTTACAAACTGACTTAGGATCATTAGGTCGAACGCCCAGGTGCCTTCAAGCTCAATTGATTGGTAGACGCTGGTGCTAAAGTTTTAATCAGGGTCGGATGGATACCATTTTTTTCTCTATCCCAAATTATAACCGTTTAATATATATACATATATATGTTGTTATAAGCGATGGTCAGTCTGGACCTCGTCCAGGTTGTGGAGAGTTGGGCTGATCCATTCGGAGCAACAGCTAGGCCTGGTTCAAACAAAAAGGCCAAAGTTCTCTTCAAAGCTTTGTTGGGCTTGGCTATTGGAGCCGTGAACAATTGATTCTAAAAGCCCATAGAAAATTGTTGGGTGCACCCTTGTAGAGCTTCGTATGGTTCAACTCCTAACACTCCTCTCTGCTCAATAAATATTTTTTACGGTTTTTTCTCTTATAAATTACAAATAAAAAAAGTATTTTATAGGACCATTTTAAACAGTAAAACACTAACTCTTGAATGAGAGAGGTTCTATAATATTGAGGATCCTTTCTCATTTAAAAGTTCTTATTTTATAATCAGAAACAATATGGACCTTAAACTGAGGAAGCATACATAGTGCCCTTTGAATCCCCAACTAGGTTTTGACAAAAGAGCAATGCTGCTGACTACCTTTTGCAAGCTTACATTTTATTCACCAACATATTGTTTTGCTTAGAATCTCCTGTCGGAGGTAACAAACGATTTTGCAGTTGTATAGTTCAAAAAGGTTATCAATGAAAGTAGGAGACATTACAATAGTCACATACAATTTACTTGTGTATACAAGTTTCACCAGATGGAAAAATTATAGATATATTGAGAATCCTTTTTCATTTCTTGGAATGAGCAGTTTTATTTCCTATCATTTTTAAATAATAATAATTAATCACTCTTGGTAATTATAGATATTCAAATCCCCCACTTTTTCCTCGGCCTCTAGGCAAATTTTGTTTCGTGAAGATTTTGTTGTACAGTTTGAACAGGTTATCAGGACTACTAATTAATCACTACAGCTATGTGATTTGGGGTTTATTCTATGTTTATATCCTCAAGGTGAGTTTTTACTCCATTAATTTAGTTTTTTCTAATTGATCTACAAAAATTCCCAATGTCTCTGTATGTGTTGAAAGGGATTTTATCATTTGGGTAAATAAATATTTGTCTTGAGGAAAGCATTTCTTGCTTATGTTAATATGTTCAATTATTATAGTATCATTTTATCAGGGTGAATGGGAATTTTGTTTAATAATTTTAATAGTTGTACCTTGTGGTAAGCTTCAATTTACCAGGAATCTTTTGGCATAGAAATTAAAGTGTTATCCTTGTAAGTTCAAAGAAAAAAATGTGTTTAGAGATTGTGGATCTGTTCTGAGCAATAGTGATGGAAGATGATCTTGGAATGCCAATTGGAGACTGAGGGGTTAGAAATTC